ATATCCAACAATTGCCAATTACATATTCTTTTCAAGCTCATGTGCAGTGCTTACAAAAATTGACCACATCCTAGGTCATAAAGCCAGCCTCAACAAACTTCAAAGGCTTGAAATCTTTCAGAAAATGTTTTCTGACCACCATAAAATAAGCAAAAAATCTATAACAGTCTATAACTAGAATATCCCCTAATGTTTGGAAATTAAGCAACATGCTTTAAAATACCCTTAGATCAAAGAGGAAGTCACAATGAAAGTTAGAAAACATTTGGAATGGAATGATAATAAACGTATGAAATATCAGAATTTGTGGGGTACAGCTAAAGCTTGCTTAGAGGGAAATTTATAGTTATAACTGCATAGAATTAAAAAAAGAAAGGTTGAAAATCAGTGATTAAGTGTTCACCTAGAGAATCTAGAAGAACCTTAGTTGAACAAGGCGTTGGTTGCTTCAGTACACTGTGGGACAGTCACACACTGTCTTTGTGTATCTTTTATGTGTGTTTGAGGTTAGACAGCCCCTGGGGGAACCCCCACAGAGAACAATATGGAAGTCTCATTCTGACAGGCAAGCACTTCCTGGCCTCTGTCTGTCCAGTCTCCACCTGGTCATGGAAGGATGTGAAACCTCCTACATAGGAGAGTTGAGGTGTGAGAAAAGACCCTCTAGGACATATGCGTCATTTTGGATGTGCAGACAAATGTTTGGATGTAAAATCATGGGAGTATGGCTTATGAGTACCTAAACTCCTGACAGCGAGGAAGCAACTGTATGGGGGCATGAGGTTCAGGGGGAACTGGTCACATAGCCTCTAGGAATGGGAGTGCATTGTGTTCCCCTGGGCTGAGAACGTGCAGCAGGGGATAACCATGGCACGGCTGCTCTGTGCCTGGGAGTCAGGGACGCACATAGAGGGAGGAAGAGGCGGGAGTGGTGGCCAATACCTCTGTAATTACATTTCGCTCCTCCTAACCATTCATCAACGTTCTTCAGAAAGCACGGATTGGGCCTTCCTTACCACTTCCTCTATAACCCAGGGACTGTTTTCTAAAATAACCTCACTGGGTTATCCAGTTATGAATTACCTTTGCAAATATTTAGTCTCAGCCAGTCCTGCTTACCCAACTCCAATTCCTCCCCTACTGCCAATACACACACTCACATGCACCCATTTCAAGTTCCTCTTCCCCGTTATGAACGACTAGCTATACTATAAAAACGGAGTCAAAACAAATTCCAATGAAGAACAAAATGAGAAATCCTATTTATTCCAAAGCCACCTCCAACCCCTGTACAAACTGGTAAGGGTTGTGACTGTCCCCTCTCTCCAGCACTGTCTGCACCTTGTCTGCCTCCTAGGTGGCCAGGGCACTGAGAGAAGTCTCCTCCTCTGCCTTCAACTCCCTCCTTGCCCAACACCTGCTCATATCAAAGAAGGCCAGAGAGAATGGACTTGTCTTTACAAGTGGAATTCTGATTGTGAGTCGGGTTACCAAATTTAACAAATAAACATGCAGGACTCTCAGTTAAATTAGAATTTCAGAGAAACAACAACAAAGTTTTTGGTATAATAAATATACATTTATAAATAAATAATTTATAAGTATACTACAAAGTTATTTGTTGTTTCTCTGAAATTCAAGTTTAACCGAGCATCTAGTATTTTTTCTAGAAACTCTAGTTATGGGAGAGAAGGGCTGTGATCAGGGAGGAGGGGTCTGGAGCCTCTTTGTCTACCCCCTGAACTAAAGGTTTACTGGGAACCGTGGGCTAAGTCATGTTGCCTGGAGGGCTGGCTTCACGGGGGCTGGGAGGGGGTCAGCCCTTGGGACCCCTCTCGCCCTTCACAGGGTCCTGACTGGAGAAGCCTTGCCTCAGGGCCCACCACATCCCCCCCCACGCCTCTTGGCCTTGTGATGGCAGCACCTCCTTCCCTCCTGCCCACGTTCAGGCTGGGGCCAAGGGACAGGTGCAGTCGAGGTAACAGACAGACGAGGCATGATGTGCAAAAACACAGACATTTGACTTTAATAAGTTATAAAATCAAGGAGCGAACTTTTACTGTACAGAAAACAAATATACTGATTGCTGTGATCGTAAGATAAAATGTGACTTGAGTTCAGCACCGTGGTGATTCATGTGGCGGCTGCCTGTCATACAGGAGTACACAGTCATAATACTTCATCTGAGAAAGGCTTCACTATTGAGCACCATTTATATACTCCAAACAAATAAACAAAAAATCTTAAAATACAGATGAAAGGCTTATATGTGAAATTCCATGGGTTTTCCAAAAGGAGTAGAGCAGAGAACCAGGTCCCAAAACTAGCACAAGTCTCCCCGTGCACATGAAGTGACTCTCGGGCCCCTCAGCTGATTTTCTGGAGCCACAGACAGAGAGGACCTCTGAGTCTCAACATGGTGTTACAAAACCTCAGTTGGAAGACCTCCATGGCCTCTGCCAGGCTGCTGCAGCCCCTGAGACACGGAGGCTGGCTCTGGAAGCTCAGGGCTATTGCTAAGCCGGCTCTCCCACGGGTCCCAAGCTCAGTGGAGATTTGCAGTTTCTCAGAGCCTGGTGAACACTGCGTTCCTTGGACAGAGAGACGTCTGAGGCCATCTACTTTACGGAACTCGGTGGATATATGGCCCGAGGGACTGAGTATGACGTATGGGGCCATGGCCACACTGCCTGCAGTTCCTAGAGGGCCTCCCTCTCCCTCCAGCAGAAGACAGGTTCCCCTGGGAATGTCCCACCTGGGGCCTCTCCTGGAAGCCTTCCAGCCCCCAAGACATGCAGCCCTTCTCTGCTGGGATCTGGGAATGGAGTGTTCCCATCCTATGGCCCCCAGGCTGGGTAAACCAAGTAGTACTCCCTGGCTGGGGTTAGTCACCCCCGACTTCCTCAACATTCTAGGCCAGACCCAAGCAAAATGCCCAGTCCTTCAGCCTGTGAATAGCACCAGCTGCCATGGGTTCAACCAGTGAGGGAAGGCTGTGGGATCCATTTCCTAATCACAGAGACAGGATTGCAAAAGTGCTTTATACCACATCCTGTTAAAGAAGAAGTGGTACTATAGGAGATATTCAAAAATGTTTTGTACAGTTTGGTTCTTAGGAGCCAGCAAGCTCCTTTGAGACACTGGGACATGTGTGAGCATGTGTGGACCTGGAGGCAGAGGGAGAGGCAGGCTGCACCGGCTGGAGTGGGAGGCTAGTTATCACCTGGTTGGGATGTTAAGCATCATCCCAGGTGTTGTTCTGCTTCCTGCACCCTTACTTGCCCCTTAGACCACACACCCACAGACTCAGACACACGTAGCACCTCAAGGCTCCATATAAAGTAGCCATCATGGTATCATCCTGAGCCTCAGTAATCTCATCTATATGGTAGGGAATTAAACAAGAAAGAGTTCTCTAAGGTCTATGACTGGCAAGAATACAAAGGCTCCAGCACTTTCCTGGACATGAAAAGCTTAAGAATTAGGTGGCAGGCGAGGCCCAGCTAAGGAGCTAATGTGCCCCTGGGTCTTGCAATTTTGGGAAGTTTAAGCTGCACATTCACTGAATATCAATGCAGGGAGAGGTAAAAATTAGCTGCTGTCCTCCTAGCCACCCTGCTCGCTTACTCTTTCTCTCATTCACATCTCACTCCCAAAGCACCATTCTGCGTTTGCAAAGAGCAAAAGATAAAGCAGGCTCCCCTCTTCCACCCTATGCCTCCCCTCGGAGGCCAAGTCTTGCAGTTCACTGCTGGGTTCTGGAGCTTCTAAGTGAAGGAATTGGGGGCGGGGCTGGGGGGGCACCACAGGGCTAAACAGGGAAAGCCCATCCCCCACAAGCGAAGCTGGTCTTTAGGAGCAAACTGAGCCCACAAGGCCTCATCTCAGAACCCTTGGGTGTGGCCACCCTTGTGGCAGCACTCCTGGCCCCCCCCAGGAGGGAAAGTCAGGGGCTTGCCCAGTCACTGGATTGTCCAGGAGAGCGCAGGCACACCGCACGACCTCCCTCATCCTTCCAATGCCCCTGAGGAGGGAGAAAGCCCTCTGGGAGGCCCAAGGCTGAGGCCAGGCTGGCTAGAGGTGGCAAGCAAGGCTTAGGTTAGTGGAGAGGAGACAGGCCTGGGGGAGCCCGGGAGAGCTGCCCACTGTCTCCTCCGCACGCAGGAAACATGGCCCACTGTTTAGATACATCCTTGAGTCCCAGTTGGAGGATTCTCAGTACTTTCCCGGGAAGAGACAGACAGCTTCACAGCTCCAACTCTGCTGAGATATTCAAACGCAGCACGTGAGCACCAAATAGATGAGATGGCTTTCCCTAAGTCCTTAATGCGCGAGACTGTATCAGGCCAAGACTGGCAGCTCCAGACCCCACCAGACCCCAGACTGCCCTAAAACATTCTGAGTTGACCTTTAAGGATTGAGAATTTTCACACACAATTCTAGACTTCTGAAAAAGTGCACTCTCTGGCAGCAGGGTCTGGCTCTCACAGAGGCAGCAGTGGCTGGGGCCGGCAATCAGCTCTAGTGGGCTGTGGCCCTCAGGTTGGTCACAGTCCCCAGCCGGCCACCATACTCATCCTTGCTGCCTGCCTGGCTCTTGAAGGCGCTAGAGGTCACGGCCTCTACTTCATTGTGCTCATCTTAGAGACTGGTCAGTTAGTAAATAAATCAGTGTTTCTCCTAAGAGCCCCCATGGGCTTTGTGCCTCAGTTTGGAGAACCGTTAGGGAATGTCCTGCGTCTCCAAAAGGGTTGTCACCACCAAGGAAGTCACTGCTCAGAAGCCTGGAGTGAGTGTTTTCTCTCTCTGATTAGCCCTTCTGCCCTACCTCATTGATGGAGGTTGTAGAACCTTTATATTCCTCTCCACCCTACACCCAACCCCAGTACAGGACTTACAACATTCCGGGGATGGGAAACACCCGTGCTAACCCAGTTGTCACATGCTTACAACCAAATATATATATTTTTATGTCATTCTCCCTCTTTGTTGTCTCAAAGCCTTTTGGAATCAGGAATTTTGACTTCATCTCCATGACACAGGATTTGCCATCCCATGGAATATCTCTATAAGCAAGAAAAAAAATGCTATTGATGCTATCTTTCCATTTTATTAGACCTTTCCAAGCATCTCTTTCTTCCTCATCTCATCAATGAGCTTTTGGATTCTTTGGTTTCTGGTCTTTTCATATAGGCTCGGTCGTCGAGGGATTAGGTTGGGTGGCAAAACTTCATCGTCCAGGCTGTGGATTTTGTAGGGCACATCGACAGCATTGGTTTCTGGGTGATCCTCAGTGGCACTGGTGTTGGAGGCATTGACAGGCACCTCCAGGGGCTTGGCTGGTGGAGGCTGCACCTCCATGACTAGAGTGGGCACTGGGAGGGTGGGCATGAGGTCTTCTATGTCATTGTGCTTCCCGGGCAGTGGCTCTGCCCTGTCATCCACGTTGGTGAGGTTGTCGTGCAGGTTACAGGACTTGCAGCACAGCTTGTTGTAGCCTGGGATGGAGCAATAGCGAGACAAGACTTCCATCCTACAGAACATTGACTTGTCGCCTTGGCAGCGGCCCTCTGAAAGAGAAAAGTGGGTCAAATAACCAAAGGACAAGATAAGGGGGACTTTGTTCCCCCACAGGGAACAGCTTGCTGAAGGAGTCATTTGAAAGAACCCAGAGACAGTACAGAGGCAAGCGAGCTCACGCGGAAAGGCTGTGTGGTTTTGATGTCAGAGCAGCCCGGTATCAGGGCAGCATCCGGGGACCCCTGCCCTGGAGTGCTGCCACACAAGCTGTGAGCACTGCATCCTCCTCCAAGCAGCCCCAGCCGAATCCAGATTTTTCAGTATCTCTCAAAGTTTGAGACAGAATGAGGCCTGTCTGTTCTTAGGGAGTGATTCCAAGCTCATCTTAAAGAATGGGACTTCGTCAGATCTTCACATTTGACATCCTCCTGGTAACCCCAATGAAATTTTGTGGCAGAGTTTGACTCTACAATAATCTATAAGCAGTTACTGTAACAAAACTAAACCTAAAAGAACCAATTCCTAAAACCCAATAGAGCAAATCCCAGAGCCTCAGCTGTGGCCTCGCCACGCTCCTCCACTCTGTTCCCATCCTCACCCAAACTCCTCAGATGACCTTTGTTTCTGAAAAGTGCCTAAAGGGAAATTAAAATTCACCCCAACTTGTCTGGCTTCCTTCCGCTTGCCTCAACTTACTGGACAGCCTCATGTCCTGCCACTGCTCCATCCACCTATGGCCCTGCCACATGGCGCTTCTGGCCATTTTCCAAACAAACTGCTCCATAACTTGATGCCTTCACACAGGTTAATCCTCTGCCCAGCACCTCCTCCCCTTCCCTTCCAGCCCGAGAAACCACTCATGCACGGCCTAGCTTGCGTGGAGAGCCCTGACTCCCTCTCTTTCCATGTGGCTGTCTTCTCCCTTGGCCTAGCACCCCCTCCACCTGCAGTTATTCATCCCACCCATTCAGCTCCTCCTGCTCTCCCTCTCCCTCCACTCCCTGTCTTCCCAAATTTCCGTCCCTCTTCCCTTTCCCTCACCATCTCATTCCACACACAACACAAACATTGAGATGCTTTACAAAAGTTCATTCAATATGAAAGAATAAGCCACATAACTATATAACAGAGGATATTTGATCCATTATAAATTCCTGATCACTGACCTCAATGGGCCCAACCCTGCGTGCTCTGTTTCTCTGCTCAGCCACTCTGTTCTGCACAATGAGATCAGACTTCCCCCTCACTCTCCCTAGTTGACCTCATCTCCTACTGAAAGGAGGGAAGGAAGGAGGGAAGGAAGGGGCAGCCATCGGATGGGAACCACATCTGCCGTAGTTACTCTGTGCACTGTCTACATCCACATCTGAAGCCATGCTAGCCCACTGAAACTTCCTGCAGTGATAGACAAGCAGGCCCCTCCCATTCAGGGCCAGTGGTTCTGATGCCCACCCACCGCATGGCCACTGCTCCAGCTTGTTCTCTTCCCTACAGGCTGGTGACCCACTTAGTTGGACACCAACCCCAAACTCCCAGAGCTTCAGATTCTTGTATACAACTGTCTCCTAGACAGTCCCCAACCCCATGGTCCCAAAGGTGCCTGAGACTGCACACGTCCATCCCTGGCCTGTGGCCTCTGCTGACACCATCCGTCTCAGAGAATGGCCTTTCAGGCACACAAGCCAGACCCCGGCATCCCCTATCCAGTCATCTCCAAGTCCGCCTATTTCCTCCTAGATACTCTCGGATATGCCCATGTTCCCCTCTCTACCCCCTCCACAGGGTGGGTCGAGCTGCCTTCCTCTTGGCTGCACCGTGCTAAGAGCCCCCTTTCTGCCTACTCCGTTCTTTCTCCTTCTCGTCCAGCTGTCCAGCTCCAGTCAGAATGCTATTTTTCAACTGAAGATGCGACCACGTCACTTCTGATCGAAGCCCCTGCATTGCCCCTCATTGTTTTCAGGGTAAGGACCTGTCCCCTTCACCTCTCCAGCAGCACTCAGGCCTCAGACCCCCTGCTCTGCACTATGCTCCCTCTGGCCACAGCGCCTTTGCGCATACTATGTCTCCCCTCTCCCTCCAGCTGCTCTCCTCTCATCCTCAAGGTTCAGCTGGAATGCATCTTTCTCAGGCAAGCATCACCTGACCTCCCTTAGGAGGTTAAATCCCACCGGTATGTGGTCTCTTGGTGCCATGGGGTCTCCCCTTCCTGGCACTTCATCCAGTTGGCACGTTCACATTTAATTGTCAGATAAGGTGACTAATGCTTGACTTTTTCATTATCCTGAAAGTTCTAAAGGGCAGAGCCCCGAGCTGTATTTGGATGTCCCTGCAACCCCAAAGCCTAGAACAGGGAATCAAAGAATGCATAAATGTATAAATGTGAATCACTGAGGAAGCCCAGAGCAGGGAAATGATGGATTTTAAAATAGCAACACTACAGGCAAGAAGAGCACACAGAGCACATGGCCCCAGAGCAGACCCAGCTATGGCTCTGAGCTTCCAAGTGGCCAGAACGAGGAGGAAACATGCCTGGCTGCAGGACCCACAATGCAATGCGAAGAGCTAAACCAGATGAGCTCTTCAGAGGCCCCAGTCTTCCCAACCTGGAGACCAAGGATCAGGCTCAGATGTGGGGGGAAGGCAGGCGGCCTGATGCTAAGAGCCTGCTGGAGAAACCAAACTGGAAGATCCTGAGATGCACTCTCAGGCTTTTAAGACTGTTAGATCCCTTTCCTCAGATAAAATCTTACACAATTGCCCAATATATGAGACGGATGAAATCAGAGTGGTCCTGTTGGAAGCTGGTGGTGGGGGGTGTGGCACAGAGCCACATTGCTCCCTTCCCCTCCCCCTGTCCCCTCTCCCCCTCCCCTCCTGCTCCCTTCCCCTCCCTCTCTCCCCTCCCCTCCTGCTCACTCCCCCTCACCTGTTCTCTTCCCCTGCTCCTTCCCTTATTCCCTCCCATCTGCTCCCATCCCCCCTCCTTGGCCCTCCCCATTTTCCAGCAGCCACTGAAGTGAGCAGTGTGAAAACCACTGATCACAGCCCTCAGGAGACACCAGGGGGCTTTGATAAGAGGAGGTGGCAGCATCTTCCCACAGGCTTTGACCGTCAGCTGGGGCGGGGAGGGGTGGAGGCATGGGCCTCCACAAGGATGGAGCCTGGCCTGGCAGTGCTGCTGGGAGTGGGGCCACCCCTGCCACAAAGCAACACCTTCCCCTGTCACCTGTGCCTTTTCCTTCACACAAATAACCAGACTGGCATTGAGCATCCCCCTTCCTATCTCCCTCCAGGCTGGGATCTGAGCGTCAGTCTACGGTCCAGTCGGTCCCTTGTTTTACTGGAACAGCCACTCCATTCATTTATTATCCAGAGCTGCTTTCCCCCTACAATGGCCGAGTTGAGTAGTCATGGTGTCCCGAGAGCCTGGATCAGAGCTTGACACACAAAGCAGTGTCGCTGAGTAAAGGGACAAATGGGGACTAGCAGTAGCTCACCCTGCCACAGGCAGGTGACGGCGGGGGTGTGGGGCCCAGGCTCCCCTTCTCCAGGGTGCCTTCCTTCCACCTGGCTCACGTAGCCCCAACTTCTGTGTCTGATTTCCTTTGAACAGTGGGCTGCACTGCTTTAAGTTTTTAAAAATTAAAATAAGTCAATAAATGAATAAATAATTGAGAAAGCCACTGGCCAAAGGCTTGGCTATGCTAATATCAGCCTAGAAAAATTTCAAAATAATCATTACCAACCACTCTTAAAAGGACACCAAAGGTTGTGTATTTTTAAGTAGTGTCACTGAGCAGAAAGCCCTCCGAGGAGAGGGAGATGCAAATTCCACCACCAAAGGGCTGAGCAACTGTCCTGAGGCGAGCGCCGCCAAGAGGAGGATTTCAGTTTTAAAATCCTCGATCTTCAGCCGCTTCCAGCAGCAATTAACTCGCAAGGCCTACTGCCTTCCACGGAACAACAGGCCGTTGAGAGTGAACCCGTTTTTCATAAATGGAAGTTGTTTGTATGTACGCGGCTGTACCTGCCCACCACCTGTGTTATCACTGGCTTCACACTCTCCTCCTCTAAACTGACTCCCTTTTAACTTAAAATGTATTCTAGAAGGAAAGTTTATACTGCTACCATTCATGGAAAACTAGTGCAGTGAATAAAGGTGATCCTAAAGATGAATACAAAGAAAAGTTTTAAGTCCTCTTAAGTCAATTTTTAAGTCAAATTTTAATTCCTCAAATGCTGGGAAATACTCCTGTCTGCCAAGCTCTGAGCTGGAGAGAACGAGCAAGTGTAAGAGAGACGCCAAACTCAGGCCAAGCAAGACTCTCCTGAGGTTGTCATAACAGAGAGAAGGAGAAGTAGGAAGGGGCTGCTCGTTGGGACATGTGCGCACCACCTACAGGAAATTATTGCCATCTCCCACGCTCAGGAAAAGGCCAGGATGGAGAAAACTTCATTCTCTTTCCTCTTTTCGCAGTTAAACCTCGTGCACCACTTCACCATTCAAAAGGTCATGCGACAAGTTGAAGAAGCAGGTGACCCCTCATCTGTGGCGCCCCCCATGCCCTCGGCTGTCCTGGCACACAGCTGCCTGGGCTGTCAGTAGACCCCTGCAGCTCTGGTCGGGGAACCCCCGTGGAGGACTGCTCCGGATCTGTCTGGGGAGGGAGCCTGAGTGGATGCAGCTCTGTCGGACGGTGGTGTTGGCCTCCTCGCCTCTCTTGAGCTGGGATTCCTTTCAATGAGCAGAGCTCTCCGCAGGCTGAGCTCGGCCACAGCCACCGTGACCCCCACCCTGGAGGCTGGCACCCAGGGCCTGGCCCTGTGCTCCAAAGCTTGTCTCCTTGATGCTGGGTGGCCCCACGTCATCCTTTCTCATGACCTCCCTCCTGTCTGGCACGGGACCCCTTCACAGGAAAGGGAGGAGAGAGATGCCCACTGGCCAGACATGGCACAGGCCCCAGACCAGGAGGTCCCTGTTGGATCCTGACCTGCTGTCTGGTCCTTGTCAGCAAGGTGAGCGAACACAGAGGCCCTGTGGCTTCTGAGGGCAGGCACGGCTGAGCACACACACGTGTGAATGTCGCAGGCCAGGTGCTCAGAGCCACCGCCACCTTGCCCTTCTCCCGACCAAGACTCTCCTGGGGCTGCCCCCCTCACCTGGGCCACATGGGCACCTCTCCCTCCCTGAACAGGCAGGCCAAGGCTGAGAGCTGTCTCAGGAGCCAGGGCAGCCACCATCAGGGCACTGTGACCTGGACCAGCACTCTCTCAACTGCTTCCCCCACATTCCCACTCCATGGGCTCTGGTCCCAAAGACGGGGAGAAACCCACCTGCACCCTTTTGCTGACTGTGGGACCTCCATCCACGAGGGGAGACCCCGGCATTCCTGTGAGGTGCTGCTTAGCACTAACAATTAAGAACTCAACCACTGAGGCGGCGTGTCTGCACGGGCCGCTGTCACATTTTGAAAAATGGCTGCGCGGGGAAGATATGCCTCAGTGGGGAGGGGCCCTCATATCTACGCTAGGCAGGGGGAAGGGGGACAGGAAAGTCATTTGATTCAGAAACCGAGGCACTAATGCGACAGAAGGGCACCCGCAGCCCCCAGCACTGTCAGACGAGGAAGAGAAGGAGCCAGCAGCGTGCCAGACCCAAGCACCCAGTTTTACTGAACTTTTATTGAGTTTATTTGTGGGATGCATGACAGGAAGTCTTTCCATCTTTAGTAAGAATAAAAGGTCATTTTCACAGTCACTTTGGCACACACTAACGTCTCATAAAAAAACCGGAAAAGCAACAACAATGGAACCTATATAATACGTCATTGAATACTTACAAAACACTAATAAAATATCCCTGATAAACCACAGTGCATACAGACAGAGAGCACAACGCCCAGGACCGTGCTGCACCTTCCCAGAGTCACTCGTGTCACGGCAGCGCCTAGCCCCAGGTGGAAGTTAACAGTCGTGAGAGTCAGTTGGCAGCACGCGCCCAGCGCGTTTGTACAGAACAGTGATGAGCGCGGGGAGGGCTCGGCGGCGGGGCGCTCCGCACGGGGCGGGTGGGGCTGCACTGGCCAGGAGCCCTGCGCGCCGGGTAAGGCAGCGCTGTCCAGCGCCCGCGGGGCCGGCCTCCAGCAACAGTCAGAGCCGCTCGCCGCGGCCTCGGGGCGGGCTCCGTCCGCACGGAGCGGCGCGGCAGCCAGGCCACCTGGACCGGGGAACCTCATCCTGGCAAAAGGTGGGTGGACCGGCAGCCCCTCACCCCCTCCCCGCAGACCCGCACCGCCTGCTCCTTCCTGGATCCCGCCCCCTCTGCAGCTGGAGTTAGCAGCCAATTCGGTGACCTTTCAACTTTAAGGCATTTTCTACATAGTTTTGTCTAAGCAAAAAAGCAATAAAAATTGAGGTAATTCTGTAGTTGTCCACACTGTAGGTGGCTGCATCCACCTCAGACAGCCTCTCACTCTCTCACCCCTGTGGATGGGGACATGTGCGCGCGATGAGAAAAGGCCATTGCAGCTAATGGACAGAGAATGGAAGTGGCGGTGTGTCCCCAGGTCCCACTGCAGGGACGCATCCCCTGCCTCCTCCATTTGACCTGAACCCCCGAGGGTCAGGGCACGGGGGCCAAGGGCTGTGTAAGTGGGACACAAAGGCCACGAAAGCAGGCCACGGTCGCGCGAGCCAGGAGGACACGCTCAGCACAGGGCGGCAGCAGCAGCAGCAGCAGCAGCGGTGGCCGGGAAGCCCCGACACACTGCCGGAAACCCGGAGCTGGGCCACCCGGTGCGGTGCGCAAACCTGCACGGCCCGAGACCCCCACTGGCCTCGCCTCGCTGCCGGGCAGCATTTGAAAGGGGAGGAGCGGGCTTCCCCCTTGACTTCCAACCTGCAGCTTCAGCCTGCAGGGATGTGGCCCCACGTGGCGGTCACCAAGTAGTCACATTTGCCCTTTGGCCTCTGGCCCCTCCAGCACCACGACAGATCTTTGCCCCTTTACAAGCCATCACTAACCAGGTCCCAGCCTCCGACAAGAGGCCAGTGCCCCAGGCCTTGCCTCTGCGAGGCTGGCCCTCCCGGCCAGGCCGCTCCGAAGGAGACATCCGAGCACAGAGGCCCCGGAGAAAACAAATTCAACCGAGAGAGCGCTCAGGAAGAGTCAGGGGAGTTTTCCATAGAAAGAGAGGAGAGGAGCCCACGGCAAGCTCCACAAGGCGCAGGGCATGCACTGGAGGGCAGAGGCAGAGTTATAAACCGGCCGGTTACTTGACGAGGTCTTCTGGACCGGCGAGTCGGGGTCCGGTCGGGACAGCCACTGAACCACGTAGCTCTTCTTGGAGGGATCGGAGATGTTTCCTAGAGAAAAGAGAAAGGAGGCTGTGGCTGCTGGGGCACCAGGCCAGGGCCCCTGCCCACCCCAGGCCCAGCGGTTCCACAGCCTCCTGGTGTCCTGGGGAGGGGGCCACAGGAGGGCCCCAACTTCCCAGCATGGCATTCAAGGCCCTCCCTCAGGGCAGATGGGCCCCAACTACCCTGTGCAGGCTCACCTCCTGCCTCTCCCCCCACACCCACACATCCCGGGTCTGGCTACACAGAGTATCTACAGCTACTACCCCTCACACACACACACAGGCCCTGCCACGCCTCCTTGTCTTTGCATTGCTCCTCAGCCCCCCAGCCCACCCAGCTCCCGGGACACAGAGAACAAGTGAATCCCAGATCTGGCCCCTCCAGCTGGGGCAGGCAACACTTGACCCCCTGAGCTTCCTCCTCTGTAGACGGGACTTGTGGAGGGGTCTACGTCTTGAGCTGCTGCGAGGACCAAAAGAGGGATGCGTGTCCGGCACTTGGCAAATGTCTGCAGGCAGACAGTGCTCTGGTTGTTCTCCTCGCAGGGCATGGGCACCCCCTACTCGCATGGCGCAGTCACTGTTAGTCTGGTTTCTGTCTCCCAGACCAGAGAGGCGGGGATGGGCTGAGTCTGCTCCATCCTTCACCAGGGCCTGGCCTGGAGGTGAGCATGGCAAGTGTCAATTCCTTCCACTTCCTACTAGGGAAAGGCCCCAGCTGTGGCCCGAGAGGGCTCAGCATCTCCTTTAAGTTCACGGATGCTGAGTCCAGCCAGTTGTGGGAGGAGCTGCGTTTTCCTGGACCAGCCTCCCTCGCCCTGGGCCTGCTGCATGCTGGGGGCGGGGGACTGGGGCAACAGAGGGCTTACGGGGACAGGGGCCAAGCCTGCAGATCCTTGCTGTCTCAGGCCTCTCCTCCCGGCAGACCCCGAAGCTGTCGTCCACGGTTCGGCAGAGCACCGGCCGCTCCTGGGTGCCATTGCCACAGGTTACGGAGCACTGCAGGCAGAGTCACCAGTCAGGGCCACCTCCCACGCTAGGCTGGGCCTGGAAGAGCTCCCCAGGCATGTGACCCATAACAAGTGGGAGGTGGTGAGGGGCAGAGGGTAGAGTGGGATAGATGCTTGGCCTGCCTTGCCCCAGCCTCAGGTGGCTGCCTCAGTCTCCTGGGGCTCTAACGAGGGGACGTGTGTGCCCATCTCTCTGAGTTACTGTGAGTTAGAGAGACGAGTATGCAGGGCCTGGCACAGGGCCTGGCATTTCTGGGCTCTCAGTGAGCGCCTGCCTGCTCTGGCTGGAGGAGGCCCACAGCCAGGGAAACTTGCTGTGCGCTGGGCCACTGGGAAAGCTCTGGCCGAGTCCAGGAGGCTTTGGCAGAGCACCCCCCCACTTCCCTCAGCACACGAGTTTCAACACCACCAGCCCCTGTGCCTCACCACATGGGGTAGGGTCACGCCCAGATTCCTGCTTGACTCACAGCTCCGCCCAGCCCTGCCCAAGGATAATTCTCAAGTCCTTGCCTTGCATGTGAGAAAGGGTTGACTCAGCAGACCTGGGTTGCTCAAACCCTGCACAGTCCCAGGAAAGGCCTGTTTTCATGCCCGGCCATTTGGCAGCTCCTGGGAACCAAGTTCATGAATATTCTATGTGGTAAGAGTGTGTGTGTGCGCCTGAGGCCTTGAGTCACACTGCACCAGTTTGTCCAGTGAGTTTACACCAACCATGTGATTTATGGTGAGCCCCTGCTTTCCCTCCAGGGGTCTGGGGTGTCAGTGACTGATGTCAATCACGCAGGCACTGTCTGCCCACATGACTAATCCCCAGTGAAAACCCTGGACACCCAGGCTTGGGTGGGCTTCCCAGTTGGCAGGACTTCGTGCGTGTTGTCACACCTCATTGCCGGGAGCACTAAGCGTGTCCCTGGTGCCTCCAATGGGAAGAGACACCTGGAAGCCAGTGCCTGGTTTCCTCTGGACTTCAGCCAGGCACTTTTCCCTTTGCTGATTCTACTGTGTGCTTCTGTTGTAATAAACCATAACCGTGAGCACAACTTCTGAGTTCTGTGAGTCCTTCTAGCAAATCATGGACCCTGAGGCTGGTCTTGGGGACCCCTGACCAACCAGGCCTGTGAGCTGGATGTCAGTGCTCATGTCAGTTCAGCCTTGCCCCCAGCACTGCCCCTCCAGCCCCTGAGACCATCCGCACTACTCTTTCCAGCCCAAGTCTAAGCCCTCCCTTGCTCATGTCCCCTCCCACAAGCGTGGCTGGCCGCCTTGACCACACATCCACCCTCTGAGATGAGAGCCCTGGCCCCCTCGTATCCTGGAGCCAGGCTGCCCTCAGTCTCCTGGGAGTCCAGACCCCATAGCACATGGGAGCCTCTGCCCTGTGGAGTAAAGACACACATTCCACTGTGTTTCTCAACAGAGCACTGACCTGAGAACCACAAGATGTGGCCCAGGACAGGAGCTGCGTCCATGCCAAGATGGAATACCCTGGCCACCCACTGCCACCCAAGCTTGGTTTGGGGGCCAAGGACATGGGGCCGGGGGCCAGGATGATTGCTTACCTGGGACCAGGGCCCAGCCCGCCACCGGCCAGGGCAGAGCTCACGGTTGCAGGCCCGGCGGCCCTCGGGCCGGGCGTCGTTGCAGTGCTTGGTGTGCACAGAGCGAGTGGTGTTGTTGTGCAGTGTCTGAACGCAGCGCACAGAGCGCACCTGCATGCCTGTCCGCCCACAGCTCTGACTGCACGGCTCCCATTCGCCCGTGACCCACCTGCCAGGGCAGAGCGATGCACAGTCAGTGCCCTGGAGAACCAGCCTGGACTGTTCTCACAAGGGGCCCTGTAAGTTAGCTCTGCCCCTGTCCAAGGTCCTACACATGATGAACCCCATGCATGTCAACCACTGGGAGACCCTGTGGGGGTGGCCATGGAGGGGCCAGGCCCGAGGGGCTTTGCTGGCATCTGTCCCTTCTTAGGCTTCCAGCTCTGCCCTCTGACCTCAGCTTCTAGTGGAATCGTGAACCCTTCTGCGCAGTGTGGGACAGCAGTGTGGACTCCCTCAGCACCAGTCCCCACACGCCCCACCTGCCTAGTTACCAGCCATCCTCCCTGCTCAGGGCCCTGTGGAAGGATTCAGCGATGCAGCCCTGCCAAACCCCAGGGCTGGAGGGTTGGGCCACAGCCACTGCAATGGGCCACGTGGGAAACATCAACCACAGGACCAGAAGCAAGCCCTGCACCCTCGGAGCCCCAGTGTCCCCATCTGAGCACTACCACTTGCACATTATTGCTCCAGGTCAGCAGGCTGAAGCAGGGCTGCAGCGTCTCAGACGCCACGAAATGTGGTGTGTGAGAAAGAATCCAGCAAACGTCTTGGGATGTGAGGCCCAGAGCCGCTCAGGGGGCCCAGATCCCCACCCTCCTTGATAGGAGCCCCAGAGGTCTGCCCTCTCCTCCTCCAGTGGGACCCCAGGCCGCCCCGGGAACTCACACAGGCTGGGAGCACTCCTGGGGGTTGCAGGCCCGGCGGATGGCTCTGGGCTTCAGGAGGGCATCACAGAAGCCTCGCTGCACCATCTTGTGGTCCAGCCTCCGGCGGCAGCCGTACTTGGTGAACTGGGACCCTGAAGATGGAGAGCTCAAGGGGGCTCAAGGGGGCGGTGTCCCCTCCAGGGGTGCGGAGGGGCAGCGCCACCAGCAGCCTCAGTCCTCTCTGCCCTTCTGATGGGGTGGGGGCCAACAGGGCACCAGAGCCAGGCCTTGGAGATGTCCAGCCTGGTGTCTCCTCAGCCCCCTAGGCCAAGTGAGGGCAAGAGGGTGGGGAGAGTAGCCACCTTCTCCCCTGGCCCCGTGGCTGGCTTCCAGGGGCAGGAGGAAAGGTTCTATTTTCTCTCCCATCACTTGGCCACTTACTACAGCTTGAATTAATAGGCACTGAGGACCTGGTATGAGCCAGAAGTTGGCCAAACACGAGACCACGGCCTGCCAGTTTCCTCCCACCACAGTCCAGTGCAGCAGTTCTCAGCTGGGGGCAATTTTGCCCCCTGGGGACATTTGGCAATGTCTGGGACACTAGTTGTGACATCTGGGGCACAGGTACTACTGGCATCCAGTGGGTAGAGGCCGAGGATGCTGCTCAACATCCCACAGTGCATGGGACAGCTCCCACAACAAAGAATGATAGAGTCCCAAATGTCAGCAGTGCCATGGTTGTGGGAAAGACATAAGAGAATATGGCCAGGCAGCCTGACCAGGTCTAGGCATCTGGGGGTGTCCCAGGAAGCAGAGGATGGGGGGACACTGGTTTAGTGGGAAGGCAGTGGAGGAGGATCCCGGGGGAGGAGACAGCCTGTGCAAAGGCCCTGGGGCAGGAGCACAGCATGCCCGGGAAAAGCACCTAAGGCCAGTCTGGCCTGTCGAGCCCAAGCAGGGGTGCCAGTGTGGTGGGAGAGGTCAGCAAGTTGCCCAGACCTTGGAGGTCACGAGGAGAATTTTGTTTTTTATCCCAAGAGCAGAGAAGCTGCTGAAGACTATGACCCCAGGAAGGGACATGGTCTGATCTGCTCCTTTAATAGGCCACTCTAGGGGCAAGATTGCACACACTGGGCCAGGTGGGGAGCGAGGCTGGTGCCAGGACTGGGAAGGCGGGAACAGCAGGTGGGTCCAAGAGATATGTCAGCAGTGCTGATGAAATCCAGGGGGGCTTGGGCCCACCAGAAGGCTGGGGGCACCATCCACCCAGGTGGGAGCACTGGAAGAGGAGCCTTCCATCCGCCTGGGCCAGAGTGGGTGTCCCGCCCCCGGGGAACGCCTCTTTGTGCTCTAGGTGTGGGACCCCACGTAGCAGCTGAGGGAGGTCTGTCCCGGCCACCTGCTCCTGCAGGCTGAGCTGTCTTCCGCCTCTTGTCTCGTCCAGCCCCCAGGAGCAGGGACCACGATGGCAGACCGGAACTTCCTGTCTGTCTGTACGTCTCACCCGGCCATGCACTCTTTGAGATCCGGGGCACAGGGGACCCCTCTGCACCCAGCCCTGCCCCAGGAAGGTCTGGGATGCCTTTCTGAATGAACATGGGAGGGACCTCCGCAGAGGGGCCCGAGTCTTCCCCATGTCCTGCCTCGGATGCTGAGACGTAATCCATTTAAGCCATGCTCACAGCAACCTCCCCCAGGCCAGCCCCTCCCTCCCACGCTGATGCACGGCCCTGCTGGCATCGTCCGAGCCCCACAGGCCCTTCTGGCTGCCTTTGGCCTTACCTGCCCTTTCCGCCCCCCTTCCCCCATCCCAGGCCCGGCTAGGCCCTTGTCCACCCAGGCAAAGGTCACTGGCCCCTGGGGCCAGTCTTCCTATATCTGGCCCATACCCCAAGCCCGGCAGTCAGCAGGGCACATGGGCTCAGGAAGCCCCTGGCCCAGAAGACCCCTCCTGCTCAGTCCCTGAGCCCCTCGGGCATCCGGGCCCCGGCCCCAGGCTTCTGCTCACCCAGGGCACCACCCCTTCTGGTCACCTCACATCACCTGGCCCAGGGGCCCCAACTCTGAGAAGACCCTCACCTCCGCCGCAGGGCTTGGAGCAGGGAGACCACTTCTTCAGGGCCCACTCGTAGCCCACGGAGTCGTCTTCCAGGACGTTGTTGTCGTCCACGCCGAGGGAGTCCTCGTGGATCATGTACTTGTACGTCAGCGAGACCCGGGCGTCCCCCTGCGGGACGACCTGCACCCCGCGCCCCATGAGTGGCCTGCCCAGCTCTTCACCCTTCCTGGGCGGCCAGTTCAGGTGGTCAGCCCGAGGTACACTGACAGCTGACTCTTATTACTCAAAGTAGTTATGCTCTAGAAAGTTCCCGCGAACACTGAGTTCAACAACACTGAACCACTGCTCTCAGGGGAACACAGGGTCAGGGTCCTATGAGACCCCAACGATATATACTGCTGATTCATTAACACTGAGCTCACAGCCAGCAGCCCTGTGACTCACGCCCAGATGCGGCTCATCCGCCACGGTGTTTCCTCCCTAAGGCACACGGCAGCTTCCTGCGCTTAGAACACACACGGCACCTCAGCACGACGCTTAGGGGCCATTTCCAACAGTGAAATCATCCGTAAAAGGACAAAAATGCGAAAAACGTGGGACTCAACATACTGTGAAAAGGATGCTTGTTTTCAGCAGGAGTGCTAAAACAAGAAGCCGAGCATCACCTTGCCCCGCCTCAGCTGGGAACGAGTGTGTCACTGCTCTGCATGTGTCTGTGAAGGCCCGGGAGAGCACGCCAGTGTGAACATGGGGGTCACAAACACATTTCAGCGAGTAGGGGAAGTCTTCGCACAGACACGGTGGCTGCTGAGGCCCGGCTGCCGTGCACTGACCTGGGCGGGTCCCCGGGGCATCTCTGGGCTGGAAGAAGCCCTGCCGGTGAGGCGGGCAGGGGTCACAGTGTACTGACACACCAGCCCCAGGGGCATGCCCTGGTAGGGGGCGCTGGGTCCAGGGGCCTGAACCAGCCCCAGTGCGCTCATCTTAGCGGAGGGGCGAAAGGACCTGAGCCTTGTCTGTAGTGTTTTAATGTTTTTACAAGTAAAATATATTACTTATACAACTAAAATTAATTTTTAAAAAGTGATTAGCAAATCAAGCCCCCTCTGTCCTCCCAACACCAGGAGCAGCCTGTGGTCTTGGACTCAGGACCCCTGGGGTCCGGTCCCGCTTGGGGACAAAGTCCGGTGTGACCTGGGTCTGGCAGGCTAATGTCTTGAGCCCCGAGGGTCCTCCCAGGGTGTGGCAGGGTTTGGATGTGACGGCAGACGTGAAGGATAAAAGGTGGCCGTGAACGTCATTCAGAGGGGGACCCAAAACCCTTATAGGGGAGAGTTTGCCTGAGGTCACTTGGGGGTCAATGCAGGGCCCCGACTCCTGGCTCCATGTCTGTTCCTCTCTCTGACACAGAGATGGAGACCCTCAGTCCAAAGGGCAGCCCACAGAGGCCGTTCAGAGTGTGGCCCGGCCTGGAGGATGGAGGGAGGTTCGGGGTTCCCAGGCACCTCCTCCATTGCTTCCCTGGTAGCCACTTGCCCCTCTACCTGGGCAGCCAGGAGGTGGCGGGCCTGGCTCCTGCCTCGACTCACCAGAACGGTGATGGTGCCGTGGAGGGGGCCCATGGTCTGCAGCGTCTCCCGGCCATCCTCATCCCGGTACTCCCACTCCACACCCATGGCGATGAAGGATTTGGAATTGGGATCCACGTCATTCTCTTCATTTAAAATGAACTTGCCTGTCTCCAGGTTCTTGATGGCTGAGAATGGCAGAAGACAGCCCCGCTGTGATCACAGGGCAAGATTGAGGCGCTGCGTGGAAGCCGGCGGGGGACGCTGGTTTGGATGGGTGGGGGGAGCAGTGGGGAGCAGAGCCCCTCATCTTGCCCAGCGGCCCACTCCCAGGGGCCCAAGCCGCCTTGGGAGCCCGCCTCGCCCATTGGCACTCAGTGGAACTAGATTCCCCTCCACTGCGCCCTTTTGGCCAGCCCAGGGCCCTTCCAGGATCTGCTCCATGGGCCCTGGAGGCACAAGGGGTCTGTCTGCTCAGAAGCGGCTCACAGCTGGCACGGCAGCCTCCCTGCGGGCTACTCACAGCACTCAGAGCCACCGCCCCCCCAACCCCAGCTCCCGGGTGCAGGGCATCTGCTGGACACCAGGGCATGGGTCTGTGGGCTTCCTGCCATGCGGTAAGCATATGTCCAGCTGAAAAGCAGGGTCTCCCCACCCCTTCAGTAACTGGGGCCTGTCCTGAGGCCCCATCAGTTCCCCACACCCCCGAAGAGGCCTGGCCTGATCAGGGTGGACATTTGGGCCACTGGGCATCCACAAAGAGCATCTAGGAGCTGAGAACCCGGCTGTCAGGAAGCCACACACTTCCCAGTGTGGAAGGCGGCTACGGGGGGCTGCTGGATGATTTTAGGGGGGCCCACGAAAACCACGGGATCCCAGAATGAAGAAATGATTCCCTGCACACGTCTCCTATGATTCTTTCCACATCACGAAGAAGCCTCGGTGGGGGCCAGTAGGTCCTTAATTTGTCACTAACCCTCGCTCCCCTGGTGCAGAAGGCAGACCTGGGCCCTGGTCCTCTAGCAGGGAACACATTTAGGGAATGAACTTTTCTATTTACCTTCCATTTAAGGCAAGTGGTACTGGTTTTGCATTTTGGGTGGCAATATAAAGTTTCCTCTTAAAACAAGGAAGACAGAAAAATGCGTGTCGGTGAGGGTGCCGGATGGCAGCAGTTTGGGAGCCCCTGACTCAGTTTGGCCTCCAGGGCACAGGGAGGAAGGTGGGGCCCAAATTGGGGGAAGGGACTTGTGCAGGATCTCCCCAGTGACCCCCAGCATCACTTTCTGACTTTGGCCCCACGGCTACCCAGGAGGTAGGGCCCAGATGCCTTCGGGGGGAGGAGGGAGGCTAGGTGAAGCCCCTGCGAGGGTCGGGGGCAGCCTCCGAGAACACAGTCCCGTAGGCAGGGGCTGACACATGGGAAGGGGCACCCAGAGTTGTTAGAAAATTCAAATTTTCAAGAGATGCCAGAAATCCCTATTCCAGGTAGAATCTCTTGAATCTAAAATTAAACTAATTTGAATATATGCAAATACACTGTGTCAGCCCATCCTCCGGAGGCCTCAGCACCCTCTGGTTGGTGTGTGAGGGCTGCCTAGCACTCTGCTGCTTGCAGACCCTGCTTGCCTTACAGTGGCTAGGGGGCCTTCCACCTGGCCTTGAGACGTGGGGTAGGGAGTCACCATTCTGCGGGCTGGGGGTGTGGCATGTCTTAGACACAGGTTCCTCCACAGCCGCTGCTCTGATCCCAGCCCCTGCCCTCTCCACCAGGAGGCCACCCTGGGAAAGGTACATGAGGTGGGCTGAGCCAGCGACAGGCCTCTGCTGCCCACGTGCTCTGCCCACCCCCAGAAGGGCCAGGCCGTGGAGACGCCACGTTGCCCGTACTCCGAGACTCACCCAGGTGGTGGCTGGTGGTGTCTACCTCCTGGATAAGCAGATGTCTGGCTCCTGCCGGGATCTCAAACATCTTGACGTAACCTTTGTTGGGATGTGGGAAGACAAACCAAATGAGAGGGGAGAGGCCGCTCGAATGTGGACAACGCGTGGAGGTGCCTCGCCCTCAAAGGGTTCCTGAGGACCCAGTGTTCCGGGGGCCTTGACCGCCCACCCAGAGAGCCGATCACCCAACGGGAAAGCTGCTGTGTCTCCACAGCCTTTATGCTCATCTTCAAATCCCGGGTGCTCCTGAGGGAGGCTCCGCCATGGAAAACTTGTGGGAATCCTGGTGGACGGCCCTGGAGTCACGCCCAGGCGTGAGGCTGAGACGCCATGTCTAGGAGGGAAGCCTCCAGCAAACCGCTTGTTTGCCTGGACCTCAGCCACCTAATCTGCAAACTGAAGACCCTGGGGTCTCAGGGGGCTGTGGAGAGGGTCAGCTTCCAGCACCCCAGCACCGGCTCTGAGCAGAGTCGGGCACGTTGGCTCCGTGGCCTTCTTCTAAAACAGACAAACCCAAGTGGCTTCTGGCCATTTCAGACAGAGGCAGGCAATCAGCTGCCGCAGGCCACCTGGAGGGCCGAGGGCCAGAGGAGGCACAGGCTTGGAGTGAGGTTCCCCCAGAGGGCTGTCTTTCCAGATCCCAGGTCTGCCGGGACCCCGTGTTCCCCAGGCCCATCCTGTAGCTCCACGGGGGACAGACTTACCATGCCCTTAGCCCCAGGCTGCACTGACCAGTCCAGGGGAGTCCTGCTGATAGCCAGCTGGGGCAGGGGCGGAGGGGCAGGGAGCAAGGGACCACAGGCCAGCTGGGCAGCTCTGGAGGGCCGGGGAGGGGTGCCCTCCACGGTCTCTGCCCTCAAATAAAGTCTTCTAAGACCCACCCTGTGTGCCTATATCCCGGCATTCTCTGCCCTGACCCCTGAGACCTGGGCCTCCATTCTCCCTGTTGCCCCTCCCACCCAGAGCCTGGCTCAAGCTGTCCCTGACTTAGGATCCTCCATCCACCTCACCCTCCCAGACCGCCCCCAGAACAGTCTGAACCCACACCGAGCCCCAAGGATGGTTCGGGGCCGGAGGGAGGGCGACTCACTGAGCTTCTTGGGCGAGCGTGTGAAGGTGCCCTTCACCACTTTGCAGTGGCTGTTGTCCCCTCCGCACACACCGCACTTGTCCTCTTGCTTGCTGGAACCGATCACCCCGTCACAGCCCACCTTCTGCAGGGGGAGGGGGTGCAGAGTACACGTGAGACCCCCCTCCCACTCGGGCCCTGGCCTGACCCGCGCCCCTGGGCCCCGGCACCTGCTCCCTCCACAGCCCAGGTCTGGGCATCCCTTACCAGTTCCCAACGCAGAGGACGGAGCAAAACAGGTCCTGTGTGCCCACCCACTGGGGACCCACCAAGGACAGCCACTCCCCTCACTGTGCCTCATTCACTCATGTGGACAGTGTGACCTCAGAGGGCCCTGCACAGCCTAAGCGGGGCCACACCCCGACACTGTCCTGGCATGGCAAGCTGGCCTCCGAATGAACATTCCTGGCCTGACAGCTGCACATCAGCCCTGGCCTCCGCCCCTCCTCCTGGGGCAGCCATGCGGCACAGCCCCAGCAGTGGCCCTGCAGGGCTCCAGCTGAAGCTGACACCTGGATGCCCCGGCCTCCTCACAGCCCCAGGAACACAGAGTCCTCTTCCAGCTGTCTTCAGGTGTCTGGACAGGAGGTGACAAGACTCGGTGGGAACACTTTTGCCTTTATTCTCTCCACTAATCCTCTCAACACTGCCCACTCCAGCAGCGAAAATTATTCCACATTGAGCTGGGACATTCTTTTGCCTGGGGCCACCTGGTAGAGGCAGCAATACATTCAGGTTCCTTTTCTCTCTACAGCCCAGGCAGCACACCAGTCCCAGGGCCATGGAAGCTCCGTTAGGAACAGCCCTGCATGTCGATGGCCCTGAGCACACTGCCTGAGGCTACTTTCATACCAACATCCACACTCACAGCTCTCCTAGCTCAGCAAGGAAGAGGACCTCTCCCCTGAGCTTGTCTGCTCCCTCTGCATGTCCTACAGTGCACCACAGCATCACAGATTTCCCTCTTTGCCCTGGCTGCCAGGAAGCTCAGAGCCAATTCTCTCCTCAAGATTCTCCTACCACCTGCTTCCTCTCCCTTTGCTCTTTGATTTCTGACTTTTGTCTTATAAGGACCTTTAAGAGCAGGGGCTCTAGACCATGAAGGTGGACAGAGCAGTGGTTCATGCATCATTTTTGAATGTGTGGATAGAAGTTAACAATCTTTGGTTTTATTGACCTATATGTGATCGTAAGCCTTTGAATCATTTTTGGAAGTGAGCAGGGTGAAAAACAATCAATAAAACGAAATGTTCATTTTTATTTTAATGATTCCTGAGGAAAAAAAATTAAGCAAAGGAAGGCAATGTGATAAACTGTGGGGAAAAAAATACTGGTCTTTTAAGGCACAGAAGCCCAAGCTGAAAACACGCATCGGACACTGCCCAAAATCAGGGTGTGTCTCACAGTCACAGCTGGAAGGCCTGCCCGCCACCTGGAGGAGTGTCACACGTGGGTTTTTGTCTGGGCAGCTGTGGTCGGCTCATCTCTGACCATCCAGGCCCAGGCAAGCACCGTCCCTGGCTCAGGGCACATGTCTTTGGTGAACGTGGATGGACGTCCCGGAGACACTGTGTAAGATCCAGCGGGCTGAGGTAGACCAGTGGGAACGTGATACTAAGATTTTAACCAAGTCCCAGAGGCCAGTGAAGCCCAGGGTCCTTCCACTGGCCTGAAATCCCGCTTTAGATATTAAAGGGGTTAATGGCGCCGATGACAGCTCAGGTTGGGGATGCCCACGCGTCCCCAAGCGGCTCTGTATGGTTGCTGCTGGCCACCCCACGACCAGAGGAAGTTGACAGCTTGAGTCCACCTGGGTTCAAGGTGAGGTGGGAGCCGCTGGTAGGGAGGGTGGGGTAGCTGTCAACAGGAGGGCGTGGAGCAGATAGGGGCTACTCTTTTCCTTCCTTCCCTGCTGTGACATCCTCTCCCTCAGCTAGTAGGTTAGGAAACATGCTAGCTTATTTCAATTTCTCCCCTTTTCACAGCAGTTTTTAGATGACCTATTTGATGTCATCTAAAAAGTCAGATTGATTTGATTTATCAACATTGTGGATTGTGCCCTTTATTAAAACAAAATGACCCTATGGGCCGCATTTAATCCTTGATTCTCTTTGACGCCCTGCTGCGTGTGTACACGGTGTGCCTTTGTTCTCGACACATCGTCTGCTGTCGTTTCACTTCTGACCTTCCTGAGTTGTGTGCTTCGACATTCTCTAAACCGACAGCACCCACTTGAGTACTACTTTTTGACCCAGGACTAGATTCTTTTAACAGAAGAATTTCACTTTCCCATGTATTGTTGGGGCTCATATATTTCATCTTACTACTGCCAATGTCTTTTGTGTGTTTTTAAATCTTTCCTTACTGTCTCCTTTGTCTTCTGACTTTTGCATTATGATCATATGCAGTCATGCACTGCATGACAACATTTTGGTCAACAATGGACGGCACAGATGACGGTGGTCCCATAGGATGAGTACCATAGAGCCTAGGTGTGTGGTAGGCCATATCATCTAGGTTTGTGTAAGTACACTCTATGATGCTTGCACAGCGACAAAATCACCTAACGACACATTTCTCAGAATGTAAGCGACGCACAACTGTATATATTCTCTACCTATGCAAAAATCTATCATCCTGCTGTTATCCATTAAAAATCACTATTAATTAATGAAGTACTTAACCTATTCTTCACTTGTCAGTGTCAGGAGTGAAGCTATAGTCACCGGCACTAAGAGGGTGAATTAGTGTTCTCACTTCTATATTACGTTTGCAACTATCGTCACAGCTGCTATGTAAAGCTACTTCTACTACTCAATGTTTCCTGTGCTTACTGCCTATATTAATCATATTTTTAAAAATTTTCTTTGTCTTATGATGTTTTGACATGTTAAAAATCTTGCTGGCCAGGGAGAGGGCTAGCCAGTTCTTAGAGAGAGCAAAGGGGCAGGCTGGGAGCTCGCCTTTGATAAGCAAATCAACCAATCCCCCTAAATGCCCTCTTTATCTACCTCTCACACACCAGGCCAATAGTTCCCCTGCACAAAATCATCCCAGCCAGCTACCTGGAAACTAGAGACTAGCCCTATAGCCTGGAGTCCACTGGAATTATTCAAACTGGCTAATCCTCAACTGTTTATCCCGCCCTGCCCTGCCTTTCCCATAGAACGCTAAGGAAGGCTCTGACCTAGTTTGCCCTGCTCCTATCCAAACTCCTGTCCCCTGCTCCTATCCAAACTCCTGTCCCCTGCCTCCTGTCCCCTGCCTCCTGTCCCCTGCCTCCTGACCAAACATGGTGCTTCTTCACGTGGCCCTGTGTAGTACAGCATGCCCTCCTCTCAGGCAACGTAAGTAATAAATTTTTCTCTCAATGGCATTGGCCTCTCCGTGTTGTCACCTAGTCACCTCCATAAATTAAAACCCCACGGGTACAAAGGAGACATCACTGTCTTTGTTTTTGAGTATTTGGCTTCACTGTCTGAGCAGAGCGTGTGACCAGCCTCCCTGCCAGACTTAATCTGAAGCAGCCTCCTCCAGGCCGTGTGCTGCCATGTCGCAGGGGAGCCTCCCTCACTCTCCCTGGGATCCCACTGAAACCATGTGAGTGGAGAGAAGCCCTAAGCGCACCCCCAACTGCCCCGTACCCCACCTCCTTGTCTTCCAGCCTCACTCTACTCCTCTGGGGCTGCCTGTGGCACTCTGCCAGGCTCTCTGCCAGGGACTCCCTGAGGATGCTCACTTCTCAGGAAGGTAAGACCAGAGCCAGCCTCTATGATGTCGACAATCAGTCCCATCTACACAAACTCTACAGAGGCTTCCAGTTGTTTCTAGGGAGTCTGGCAGGGGGAAAGTCTGTGCTCATGTTATTATCATATACTGAGTTACCCCACAGTTGTTTCTTGTGACAGCCTAAGATTGAAGCCAAAGATGTAAGAATAATGGAAAATACAGCAGGGTGTTTCTACAAAGAGCCAAACCAATGAGACTCATGGTGGGCCGCCCTGATCAAGAAGAAGCTGTCCAGTACGCAGTGGAGTGCAAACACGTGGCAGTGCTTCACAAGGAATCACCTGGAGGGCTCGAAAAATCCATGCTCCTGGGCCTAGCCTCGACCTACAGAATCTGAAGCTCTCAGGTGGAGCCCCTAAGCTCCCCAGGTGGCTCCTAGGCACACGCAAGTCTGAGGACCCCGGCACAGGGGAGGGTAAGCCGACGTTTGTGAAGAGCCTGCCCCATTGCAGGTGCTGTTTCCGACACTCTGCATGCTTAACCTCAGCAAATCCTCCCAACCACCCCAGGAAGCCGAGGCCCTGAGCCGTGGCTGCCGGTGCGCTGTGGCCCCGCCAGGTCTTGTGGCACTCACCCTGCAGTCCCCGCGCACACATAGGCTGAAGGCATCCTTGTAGGAGCAGCGCGTCCCATCATGCACCATGCGCTTCATGGACACCACCTCCCCGGTCTCCTTGGACTCGCAGTAGAGGTGGCATCTCTCCTTGGCTGGAATGGGAGCGGCTGGGTGTCGGCAAGGAGTACGTGCCGGCAGCACTGCTTGCCTTCCTTCTCAAGTTCGCTCCGTGTGAGGGAGAAACTCCCAGGAGGGTCTTAGGATTCACACCACCCCCCTCCGCGCACTTGCCCTGGGGCAGGTGACTGCAACCCCTTGTATCACTGTCTCAGGGCCTTAGACTCCGGGGTATTGGATTTAGGAGGAGCTTTTCCAAACTGAGCCAGGCTGTTGTTGGTGCAGCCGCATCTCAGATCCCCGAGGCCCAGCCTGGAGACCCCAACATGGGGGCAATGGTACATGGCTGTTTGCCAGGTCTCCAGCTGAAGACCCTTTTCAGTCAACCTTCTTTGAAACCCCAAATAAGGCCTGACGCCCCTTGATTCAGTCTTGGGTCCCTGATACCTTTCCTTCTCAGCATTTTCTCAGAGGTCACTAAAACACTGGCTCCTCATCGGATGACCATCTCTCCTGGCCGCCAGACTGCAGCCTCCCTCCGAGAGGGAGAGGGGGACCCTGTCTGCTCCGGCACCCCCTCCAGCACTGAGCAGGCCCATGCCCCGGCCACCCTTTCCTGCCCAATGCCTGGAAGGAACAGAAACTTACGTTTAAAATTCCATCATGAGGTGGAGGAGGACCCAAATGTAATATAGATGCTATCATGCCTGAAGCTCCCAGATTTTTTAGTCTATGAGCCAATAGAGGCCTTTTAATGCTTAAACCAGATCAAGTCATGCTTTCCGACACTTGGAACTGAGAGCTCTGACTGAAAGCTGAGAAGGCCAGAGGTAACCCCATTCCTTGGCAGGGTCCACCCCATCCCCAAGATGTTCTAATCACGCAACCCCAGCCTCTTCCAGCGGGTGGCGACAGCAGGAGCCTGGCACCAGCCGGGCCTGCAGCTGGGCCCTCTCCCTGCATCCTGGGCCAGGCCATTTTCTGGTTCCTCTGGAACTGCAGTCCTGCCATGAACCCCTCACCTCAGCCCAGGAGTGGGCCCTGGCAGCCTGGGGTGGCTGGCAGCCTTGCCCATGCAGCATCGGCGGCACAGGACAGCGCAAGCCCCGGGCCTGCCCGTGGAGAGCCCCCTCTGCCCCGCCCCTCAGGCTCACCATCCCGGTGCTCGTGGGGCAGCCAGTGGTGCTGGGCGTCGCCGTGCGGGAAGTACAGGTCCCACTGCCGGCACTGCTCCTCGCGGAAGTCGGCCAGTGCGTCGGGGCAGTCCTGCGGATTGCAGAGCTGGAAGTCGTAGCCGAGGCCTGAGCAGGTGCGGCCCCCATTGGCTGGGCTGGAGGAGGAAGCAAAGACCTGCAGCTCAGTGCCCCCAGGGAGAGGCCAGCACTCAGGGTGCCTCTTGTGGGGTTTAGAGGGAACCCTGAGTCTCAGGTTGGGGGCAGCTCCGCTGAGGGAAGGGATCCAGCCCTGCCCCGTCCTAGCCACAGGCCCCCTGGCAACCCCCCTGCCTCCTGGGCCTGAGCATGAAGTACAGAGGAGCTGCTCATCCTCCTTGGGCCCCATGGGAAGGGAGCATCTGCTAGACCCCCGCGCCCGCAGCTCCTGCTGCTATGACCGTGAACCAACAGGCCTGTGATGGGGTGTTTGGGTTCTGGTCCCCTCCAGCCCCCCGCCCCGGGCCATGAGCCCCAGGATGGAGAAGCCGGGGGAGTCTCCTCTACATCCGGGCCTGGGCCTGTGCCTGACACACGATGGGACCTCAAAGAGCAATTCTGAGATGATGGAATCCCTCTGCACAGGCTCTTAACAAGCGTCAGGCACATGGTAGACACGCCACCACTGGCTTCCTCTACTTCAGAGAATCTGGGCTCGTTTCTGTAATTCCCTCACTTCGCTGAGAACACACCAGTCCACAAAGCACTAACCCCACAGAAAAGGCCAGGCTGGGGGCCAGCAGGTGCCTCTGGCAGGTGGGGCCATGGGGCGTGGCCGGCCAGCGCCCTGGGAGCAGCTGGGGGCCACTGTGTCGCCATCCGCCAGGCGTGGCAGAGCCCAGCAGAACCTGAGGCCCCACCTGCGCCGCTGTCTACCCGCCCACCCCCGTGTCACAGGAAGAGCCACAGAGAGCACAGGGGGCAGGGCACTTTGAGCCCCCTTCCCGCCTCTGCATCTCGCCACGGATGGAGCCTTCGGATGGGAGTTGGTCAGAAGCGAGAGGAGAGTTGTCCGGGCTCGAGCTGGGGTGGCCGGCCCCAAGCACAGGTGTTCTTGAGGTGCGGGCTTTCCCACCACTGGACCGTGGGTCACGGGTCCCTCCCCGGCAGATGTGGACTTCAGCCCTCTCCCCAGAGCTGTGGCTGCTGCCTGCCTCTGGCTGCCCAGCGGCCAGTTCAGGATCTGGCCAGAGAAAGTGGCCTGACGGAACAGAGCACTGGAGCTGCCACAGAGGCCGGAGCCCAGCCCGCCTGGACGGGCCCCAGAGACCTGTGGGGCTTAAAGTTTGGGGTCACAGGCTCCTCTGAAAAGTTGAGGTGAAGCTAGAGACCTGCTCCACCAGAAAAATACATACGCACAGACAGCCCCGCCATGGTCTCAGCAGAAGGGTAATAAGCCTGTGGCTTAGGGTGTAGGGCCCCAGCCCAAATATCTCCGGGGTCCAGGTGGGTGGAGGGGGTGAGTGAACATGGCTGGGTGGGGCTGCCCACGGAGCGGGCAGCCTGAGTCGCCCACCAGCCTGTATTTGGGCCTGGCATTGCTATGGTGCCCAATTTGGAAGGTAGAAATCTGGTTTGCTTTTTTATGTGAAATTCCAAATTTTTAATATTTTGATGTAAATCAAAATCTTTAAAAGACTGGACAGGTCAAAGAAAAGCAAAGGCCACATGTCTCCCAGTAGCCGAGGGGCCTCTGCTGGGCGGGGGAAAGACCAGAGTGAGCCGGCGTCTGTGAGGGGGTCTTCCTGCACACCAGGCGCTGTGCACATTACTGCACGTGCCCCCACGATAACCCCACAGGGCAGGCTGCCTGAGGCCCGGAGTGCTAACTGAGTCACACAGGGCTCAGGCGCTCTGGCTCCACACCCTCCCTCTGGTGCTGCACCCGGCAAGGCCAAGGCCAAGGGTTCAGGCAGGAGGAGCGGCCAGGTGGGCGTGGACATGAAAGAGGCTGGGCCAGGAGCGGTGGAGGAGGGGTCTGGGGGAGGGCAGCACAGCACAGGGCTGGCGCCTGCACCGGAGGCAGGATGGGGAGGGTGGTTGGGGGAGTCTGGTGGGCACAGGGGCAGCCTCTCCAGGCTGTCTCTCCCCTAGGCAGCTGGGCACAGGGGGCATGTCACTGACCCTGCACCTCGCCTGATGGCAAACAGCTGCTCCCCTGCTCAGGCTCCTGGCATCCTGGGGCCCGAGAGAGCCCTCCTCCTTATCCCCAATTCCTGGCCTGTGTTCCACCTTCTATCCTTGACGCCCTCAACCATGCAGGGCAGAGTGAGCCAGCGTCTAGAGTAGGGCACAGGCCAGGTAGGGGGATGGCCCCAGTGGGTTAGGAGGCCAGGTTTCCAGGGCCAGCTCTGCCCCCAGCAGGCTGAGTGGCCGGGGGGCCTGAGCCCTCCCCTCTCTGAGTCTCAGCTTCCTCCCAGGGAGGGTGAGGAGGGCCGGGGCTACCTGCCCTCATACCCTCTCCAGAACTGATGTGTGGCTCACAGGGGCCATGCAGGACAGGGGTGCTAGCGAGGGGCCTTGGGGACCACAGCTCTCACCCGGGAAAGTTGGGAAACATCAGGGCCAACTCACTGTGGGTTGTCACATTGGCGGGTCCTGAACTTCACACCTGTGCCACAGGTGCGTGAGCAGGAGCCGAATGGACTCCAGGCGCCCCAGTTGCCATCCCGTTTGAGGATGTCAGGCGTCAGCCAAATGCAGTGTCCTTTAAAGCAGTGCTGAAAGACAGACAGACGGTCACTCCCTGACCCACCGTTCGCATGCCCCCCACCTTCAGCCTGCAGTGCCGGTGACAACTGCCTGGCCTGGAAGCACAAGGAGAGCAGGCGCTACGTGCCCCCAGATGCTCAGAGCCCCATCAGGAGGCCCAGGGAGGTGCTGGTGCACCCAGCTTCCCTCGACCACCGCCAGGGCCTCCCACCATCCTGGGCACCTTGTCCAGCCTCCTCTGTCCCCCTGGCCACAGGCTGCCCCACACTTGTCTCTAGGTGAAGACGGTGTGCCCACACAGGGGACATTCATAAAGATGTCAAGCCAGCGACTCCAGAGACATACAAGATCTACTTGTTTAAGTAAAAAAGCCGATTTAAAGGAAATATGGAAATGAAGGACAGGTGATATGCTGACATGGTAAAAATTCATGAATACAGTAAGTAGAACACTGGAGCACAGAAAACACAATTCTACAGCTTGAATCTGATCACACTGCTCCCTTTCCTCCCACGGGCAGGAAGCTTATACAATTTAGGGCCCACTTGAAGGAGAACATTGCAAAATTAAAAATACTAAATTAGGTATAAAATGGAATATTGATTTAGAAGAAGAAAACACATCACAAAATATTAAAAATTGACCAATACCACAAACAACCAACAACAGAGAACAATGATTTTTTTCAAATCGATTGACCAATACAACATTTCCTGCAATTCTAACTGCATACTCTTTCATCCCCTCTTCACATGATAATAAATTTGTGGTATTATTTTCCATAGAAAGAAGAGAAAGATAATGCAGGCATTCCTCAGTGAATTTTTCCTGTAAGGGTCAGACAGTATCCATTTTGGACTTTGCAGGCTGTATGGTCTCTGTTGCAACTACTCAACTGCCGCTGGAGCCTGAAAGTGGCTATAGACAACATGTATGAATGGACATGGCTGTGTTCCAATAAACCTTTATTTACAAAAACAAGCAGCAAATGGAAACTTCTAGAATAGAGCTGCAAGGAGCTTGGTGATCTCTCTCCTCAGTTAAACTCATTTAACTGGTGAAAATTATTTTTTAAAAATAACCATTTAAAGTATCTGAAGATTATCCTAAGGTCAATATAAGAAATGGAGAAAAATTTATTCAAGAAAATTTACTAAATCTTGGTAAGAACAATGAAAGTCTATGGCATTTGAGCCACACCCCTCTCCCATCCCTTCCCCAGCTCAGTGTGACGGAAACTTTACTGCCTGGAAGACAGAGCTCCCTATCTTCCCCACTCCCAGTCTAGGGCTATGGTTTCACCCTGGGAAAGGCAAGCCACTGGCACCTCCCATACCTCTCAACTCTGTGTTGCAGAAAGTCTATTCCAGGCTGGGGTGGACAGAAGGACTGGGGCTCCCTTCACCCACCCAGTCCCCACTCCCAGGTATGGCAGGCCAAGAATACTGGACCTTGATAGTCCCTTCCCCAACTTGCTTGTAGGGCAGAGGATTCACGCTGAAAGGGGCAAGCCAAACAGACTAGAGGCTACCATCCCCATGTAGTGACCCACTTGTAGACCAGGAGTGTCACTCTGGGAAAAGTGAGCCACCCTGTCCCTAGCTCCGGTACAGTGGTACAGTGGTCTTCCCAGAGGAAAAAGCAGAATAGAGAGCTCTCCTTAAGGGGATTGACTTTATTTGGAACAGAGCATGGGGAAGTTCATGCCTAAGGGCATTATCAAAAACAAAAGAAATCTGGTAATGCACAACTAAGAGGAGGCCAGTAGCTCCATGATACTAGCAGCAAGAAGTAAAATGATAAACCAACTAGAAGTGTAACAGAGAACCAGGAAAAAGACAGCTAAGAGCCCTCCTGGGGTCTGAGCAAGCCTCAAAGACTGGCAACACCCTGCCCCTGTTGAGGGACTAGAGTTTAACTGGGTTATACTGTAGATAAGTTGTACCCCAGGGCATTATCAAAAACAACAGAGCAATCAGTTAGCTGTGAAAACTAATTTGGTATGATACCAATAGAGGCAGAACAGCCAGAAGTTTAGTGGGAAGACAAAGAGACAAAGAAAGCCTGGCTAATCCCATCGTCCTGGGGTGGAGGTGGGAGCTGTGAGATCAGAGTGCCTATGCACATGCCCAAGGCTGTGACTTCTCAGTGGCAATATCAGCAGCTGCACACTGAAGGGCAAACAGAATTTATTGAAACTGTGAAGCCAAGTCACTAAACAAATAAACAAGTAAACAAGAAAAAAACAGCACAACAAGATCCAGGGGAATCAATACCCAGAGTTTCTTCAATGTATTATCTAAAATGTCCAGTTTTAACAAAAATTTCTGAGACATGAAAAGACACAGGAAAGTGTAACCCATACAGAGGAAAGTAAGCAGACAACAGAAACTACCCTTGAGGAGGCCCAGATGTTGGACTTAGCAGACAAAGATTTCAAAACAGCTATCAAAAATATGCTCAAAGAACAAAAGGAAACCATGTTAAAAGAACTAAAAGAGAGTATTAAGAACAATGTCTCACCAAACAGAGAACATCAGGAAAGAGATAGAAACTATAAAAAGAACTAAATAGAAATTCTGGAGTTGAAAAGTACAAAAACTGAAATGATACATTCACTAGATGGCTCAACAGCAGATTTGAGTTGGCAGAAGATAGAATCCATGGACTTGAATATAGATCAATAGAAATTACGTGATCTGAAGGGCAGAGAGAAAACAGAATAAAGAAAAATGAACAGAGCCTCCGAGAAACATGGGAGACCATTAAGTCCACTGAAACGTGCATAGCAAAAGTGCCAGAAGGAGAAGACATAGAGAAAGGAGCAGAAAATATTCATAAATATAATGTCTGAAAACCTCCAAAATTTGATGAAAAACATTAACTGACACATCCAAAAAATTTCACAAACTCCAAGTAGGATAAATGGAAAGAGATCCACACCCAGACACTTTATAGTCAAATTACTGAAAGACAAAGTGTTGAAAGCAGCAAAAGAAAAATGGCTCATTGTGCACAAGGAAAGCCAGTAAGATTAACAGCTGACTTTTAATCAGAAATAATGAAGGCCAGAGGCAGTGGTGTCAACCAAGAATCATACCCAACAAAATTATCTCACAACAATGAAGGTGAAATAAAAATATTCCCAGATAAATAAAAACTGGGAGAACTCATTGCTATCAAACCTGCCATATAAGAAATACTAAAGGAAGTTATTCAGGCTGAAAGCAAGCCTCAGATATCAGAGAATAATTCAAATCCACGTGAAAAAATAAAGAGCACTGGAAAGGGACAAATTTCTAGAAACACACAGCCTACCAAAACTGATTTAATAAGATGTAGAAAATCTGAATAGATCTATAACAAATAAAGAGATTAAATTAGTGATTTAATACTTCCCACAAATAATAGCCCAAGCTCAGATGGCTTCACTGATGAATTCTACCAAACATATAAAGAAAAATTAACACCATCCTTCACAAACTCTTCCAAAAAATGGAAGATTCCCCAATTCATTCTGTGAAGCTAGTATTACCCTGACACCAAAACAAAGACATCACAAGAAAAAACTACAGACCAATATCTCTTATGAAAATAGACATAAAAATCCTTAACAAAATCCTTGCAAACCAAACCCAATACCACATTAAAAGATTATAGATCATGAACAAGTGAAATTTATTCCAGGAATGCAGGGTTTAACAGCTGAAAATCAATCAAGTAATAAACCATATTAATAGAATAAAGGACAAACTATATGATCACCTCAAGACTCAAAAATACATTTGGCAACATCCAACTTCTTTTCCTGAAAAAAAACACTCAATAGGCTAGAAATAGAAGAGAACTTCCTCAACCTGATAAAGGACATTGATGAAATACCCACAGCTAACATCATGCTTAATGGTGAAAGAAAGAATGATTTTCCCCTATGATCTGAAACAAGACAAGGAGGTCTGCTCACACCACTTCTAGCCAGCATTGTACTGGAAGTTCTAGCAAAGACGATTAGGAAAGAAAAAGAAATAAAAGGTGTCCGTATTGGAAAGGAAGAAGTAAAGCTGTCTCTATTTGCAGATGACATGATCTTCTATATAGAAAATCCTAAGGAATCCACTAAAAACTACTAGGGCTAATAAATAAATTCAGTGAGACTGCAGGATACAGGATCAATGTAAAAAAATCAATTGTATTTCTATAAATTAGCAATGAAAATTGAAAATAAAATTAAGAAAACAACTCTATTTACAATAGCATCAAAAAGAAGAAAAACTTTAGCAATAAATTGAACAAACGAAGTACAAAACTTGTACACTGAAAACTACAAAACATTGTTGAAAGAAATCAAAGACCTAAGTAAATGGAAAGACATCCCATGTTCATGGATCAGATTGTTAATATGGCAATACTCCCCACATTCATCTATAGATTCAATGCAATCTTATCAAAATTCCTGCTAGAATTTTGTAGAAATTGAGAAACCCCTCCTAAAATTTATATGGAAAGTCAAAGAACCAGGAACAGACAAAACAATCTCGAAAAAGAACAAAGTGGGAAGATTCACACTTCCCTACATGGAAGCTTACTACAAAACTAGTAATCAAGACAGTGCGGCCCTGGCATGAGGACAAACAAATCTATGAATGGAATAGAATGCAGAGTCCAAAAATGAACCTTGACACACAGAAAACTGATTTTCAACAAGGGGGCCAAGATGACTCAATGGAAAAAGAACAGTCTCTTCAACAAATGGTGCTGAGACACTGGATATCCACATGCCAAAGAAGGAAGTTGGACTCCTTCCACACACTTTACACAAAATTAACTGAAAATGGACCATAGACCTAAATGTAAGAGCTAAACTCTTAGAATAAAACACAGGAATACATCTTGACTCAATGGCAGTGTTTCCTAGATATATTACCAAAAGCACAAGAAACAAAAAAAAAATAGATAAATTGGACTTCATCAAAATTAAAAATTTTTGTGCATCAAATGATACTATCAT